ACTGATGCTCTCCTAGCTGCGTTGTCCTTACCTCAGCCAGAAGTGCCAAAGTTTGCTGGTGACTTAACTGAGTATAGGGTTTTCTTGGCTGCTTTTGATACTCGTATTGCTTCTCGTGCAGCATCTTCATCTGACAAATTGTATTACCTTGATCAGTTACTGATAGGTGAGCCCAAAGAAATCATCAGTAGTTGTTTTTATTTAGAGGATGGGTATCAACAAGCCCGTATGTTGCTTGACAAAGAATATGGTGACCCATATAAAACTGCTATGATGTATTTGAATAAAGTGAATGAGTTGCCATCTGTAAAACAAGATGATCATGTTGGTCTAAAGAAATTGGCTTTGTCATTAACAAAGTGTTCTTATGCAATGCAGCATTTATCTTACCTCAGTGTGTTAAATCACCCACCCAATATGATAAATGTAGTTAAGAAACTGCCTTTTTATTTGCAAAATAAATGGCGAGAGCATGTAGTAAAGTTGAGACAACATCAACAAAGGGTTGTTCAGTTTTCAGATCTTGTCTCCTTTGTATCATCAGCGTCTGAAGTAGCCAACGACCCAGTGTTTGGTAAAGGAACCATCTCTACAAAGTCTTCAAAGCCTCCAACAAGTAAGTTCAACCAAAAAGTGTCCAGTTTGGCAACGACCGTTTCTGACGTCACTACCGCGCAACCTTGTTGTCCACTTTGCCAAGGACGTCATGACCTTGAGAACTGTCAGACATTTTCATCTAAGAGTATCGATGACAAGAGAGCCTTTCTGATGGATAAACGCCTCTGTTTTGGATGTTTTGGACGAGACCACGTGTCAAAGGGCTGCACCAAGAAACGCCGATGTCAGAAGTGTCAGAAATTGCATCCAACTTCACTCCATGTTGAAGGCTTTTCGGCCCCGACGACAACCTGCTGTCCAATCGCATTCTCTCACAGCTCAAGCTAATACACAGCTGACCGATGGTGCTACTGTGTCTTCCTGCGTTACCACAGTGTCTGCAGACCGTATTTTTCATGCAATTCTCCCAGTGAAGATCCACCAGAAAGGTAGTAGCACTGTTATGAATGCATACTGTTTTTATGATAATGGAAGTAGTGGTTGTTTTATTACAGAAGGATTATTCCGCCAACTTGATGCCTCGGGTGTAACTACTCGTCTCCAGCTTAAGACTATGTCTGGAAGCAGCTGTTTTCAAAGCAGTGCGGTGGAAAATCTGGTGATTACAGATAGTAATGGTGATAATGCCATTGAACTGCCACGAACTTTCACAAGAGATGATATTCCAATCACCAAAGATCAGATACCTACGCCAGATATCGTCAGAAGGTGGGATCACCTCAAAAGTGTTGCTCAGGAAATACCAGAATTGCAAGAAAATGTGGACTTGGCTATCTTGATTGGAAACAATTGCCCACTAGCCTTGGAGCCGCTTGGAGCAATACCTTCTTCAAATGGAGGCCCGTATGCAGTGTTACTTAGACACGGTTGGACAGTACATGGACCGTTAACCGCTGATACTAGGGACCACATTACATGCAATCGTATACAGGTGGAGGAAGTCCACAAGGAGATAATGTCCCCGGCTACTGCAATGCACATGATGGAGCTTGATTTTTGTGAGCATAAGCCATCATATCCTGATGAGAAAGGAATGTCACCAGAGGACAAACGTTTCTTACAGATTGCAGAAGACGGTGTTGTTTTTGAGAATGGTCATTATACTTTGCCCTTACCTTTCAGATCCAGTGAAGTGTCACTTCCTAATAACCGATCACAAGCAGTACAGAGGGCATTGTGGCAAAAGAGGAAGATGATGAAAAACGAAACTTACCGTGCAGATTACGTAGCATTTGTTTCAAATATTTTGGAGCGTGGTTATGCAGAGCGTGTTCCTCTTTATGATGTCTCAGCACAGGGCCAAGTATGGTACTTACCTCATCACGGTATATACAATCCAAACAAACCGGGGAAAATTAGAGTAGTGTTTGATGCAAGTGCCAAGTTTCAAGGGACAAGCCTGAATGATCACTTATTACAAGGACCGGATCTGGCCAACAACTTGGTGGGAGTTCTTTGTAGGTTCCGTCAGCATCAAACCGCATTCACTGCCGATATAGAATCCATGTTTTTTCAGGTCCGTGTTCCAGTAGAACAGAGAAGTTTTATGAGATTCATGTGGTGGGAAAACGGTGACTTGAGCAGCGACTTGCAAGAATATNAACCGCATTCATTGCCGATATAGAATCCATGTTTTTTCAGGTCCGGGTTCCATTAGAACAAAGAAGTTTTATGAGATTCATGTGGTGGGAAAACGGTGACTTGAACAGCGACTTGCAAGAATATCAGATGAGCGTTCATCTTTTTGGTGCCGTCTCCTCTCCTAGTGTTGCCAATTTTGTTCTGAAGAAAATTGGGGCTGAAGCAGAAAATTCTGAAGTGAGTAAAACTCTTCTCAGAAATTTCTATGTAGACGACTGTATTAAATCTGTGAAGTCTACCTATGACGCCATCAGACTGGTAGATGATCTTCAGAAAACCTGTGCAAGCGGAGGATTCCATCTTACCAAGTTTGCCAGCAATAGCATTGAAGTTATGGACTCTATACCCAAGGCTGAGCATTCCAAAGAAATATCCTCAATTGATATCCATTATGATGAGCTACCAATCACAAAGACGCTTGGGGTACAATGGAACATTGAGACAGATCAGTTTGAGTTTTCCATACAGCTAAAAGCCAAACCATCAACTAGAAGGGGGATTCTCTCCGTCATTTCTTCGCTTTATGACCCACTTGGTTTTGTGGCTCCGGTGATATTGCCAGCGAAGAAAATACTACAGGATCTTTGTCGTGACGGAAATGTAGGATGGGATGATGATGTACCGGAGAAGTTTCAAGAAAGGTGGAGCAAATGGTCATCTTCGATATTAGCATTAGAAAATGTAAAGATAAACCGCTGTTTCAAACTTTCAGACTGTCTCCCACATGGTGAAGTGCAGCTCCATGTCTTCTCAGATGCCAGCTTCTATGGTTATGGATCAGTTGCCTACCTTCGATGTAAGGATTATGCAGGAAACATAAATGTTTTCTTTGTAGCAGGAAAAGCTCGACTCGCACCCATCAAGACTATGTCAATCCCACGACTCGAACTTACCGCTGCAGTTACCTCAGTGCGACTAGCCAAAATGATAGAGAGAGAAATTGAGGCAGACTTGAAAGTGTTTTACCATACCGACTCCACTACTGTACTTCGCTACATAGCCAATGAGAAGAAGCGATTCCCAGTGTTTGTGGCAAATAGAATTCAACTGATACGCGATTTTTCCAGTGTAGAGCAGTGGCGTTACGTACCGTCATCAAATAATAGTGCAGACGAAGCCTCTAGAGGTTTATCAGCGGATGAGTTGAGTGACAGTGCAAGGTGGTTGACTGGTCCCGAGTTTCTGTATACCGAGGAAGATACATGGCCGGCAAGCCCACTAAATTCCCAGATGCAAGACCAATCAGAATCGGATGATGAGATCCAACATACAGCGTGTTTTGCATTGAGCAGTGATGAAGAAGATTCTTTCTTTCAGCTTGTGAATCACTACTCAAGTTGGTATAAATTGTGCAAAGCAGTTGCTATCTACGGAAAATTTGTTCAGTGGTTGTGCAAAAGAGAGAAGTCTAAGACGAGTTTCTCTCCGGTGATTACGTCCGAGGATATTGCCCAATCGGAGACCACAGTTATACGTTGGCTACATTGGCGCAGTTACAAAGACGAGATTACCCAACTTACCTCAGTAGATGCAGATCAAACACGGAGCCGGGCAAAGACGGTAAACAAGACCAGCAACCTTTACAAGTTGGATCCAATTGTTGACAATGGTANTAAGTTGAGACAACATCAACAAAGTGTTGTTCAGTTTTCAGATCTTGTCTCCTTTGTATCATCAGCGTCTGAAGTAGCCAACGACCCAGTGTTTGGTAAAGGAACCATCTCTACAAAGTCTTCAAAGCCTCCAACAAGTAAGTTCAACCAAAAAGTGTCCAGTTTGGCAACGACCGTTTCTGACGTCACTACCGCGCAACCTTGTTGTCCACTTTGCCAAGGACGTCATGACCTTGAGAACTGTCAGACATTTTCATCTAAGAGTATCGATGACAAGAGAGCCTTTCTGATGGATAAACGCCTCTGTTTTGGATGTTTTGGACGAGACCACGTGTCAAAGGGCTGCACCAAGAAACGCCGATGTCAGAAGTGTCAGAAATTGCATCCAACTTCACTCCATGTTGAAGGCTTTCGGCCCCGACGACAACCTGCTGTCCAATCGCATTCTCTCACAGCTCAAGCTAATACACAGCTGACCGAATGGTGCTACTGTGTCTTCCTACGTTACCACAGTGTTTGCAGACCGTATTTTTCATGCAATTCTCCCAGTGAAGATCCACCAGAAAGGTAGTAGCACTGTTATGAATGCATACCGTTTTTATGATAATGGAAGTAGTGGTTGTTTTATTACAGAAGGATTATTCCGCCAACTTGATGCCTCGGGTGTAACTACTCGTCTTCAGCTTAAGACTTTGTCTGGAAGCAGCTGTTTTCAAAACAATGCGGTGGAAAATCTGGTGATTACAGATAGTAATGGTGATAATGCCATTGAACTGCCACGAACTTTCACAAGAGATGATATTCCAATCACTAAAGATCAGATACCTACGCCAGATATCGTCAGAAGGTGGGATCACCTCAAAAGTGTTGCTCAGGAAATACCAGAATTGCAAGAAAATGTGGACTTGGCTATCTTGATTGGAAACAATTGCCAACTAGCCTTGGAGCCGCTTGGAGCGATACCTTCTTCAAATGGAGGCCCGTATGCAGTGTTACTTAGACACGGTTGGACAGTACATGGACCGTTAACCGCTGATACTAGGGACCACATTACATGCAATCGTATACAGGTGGAGGAAGTCCACAAGGAGATAATGTCCCCGGTTACTGCAATGCACATGATGGAGCTTGATTTTTGTGAGCATAAGCCATCATATCCTGATGAGAAAGGAATGTCACCAGAGGACAAACGTTTCTTACAGATTGCAGAAGACGGTGTTGTTTTTGAGAATGGTCATTATACTTTGGCCTTACCTTTCAGATCCAGTGAAGTGTCACTTCCTAATAACAGATCACAAGCAGTACAGAGGGCATTGTGGCAAAAGAGGAAGATGATGAAAAACGAAACTTACCGTGCAGATTACGTAGCATTTGTTTCAAATATTCTGGAGCGTGGTTATGCAGAGCGTGTTCCTCTTTATGATGTCTCAGCACAGGGCCAAGTATGGTACTTACCTCATCACGGTATATACAATCCAAACAAACCGGGGAAAATTAGAGTAGTGTTTGATGCAAGTGCCAAGTTTCAAGGGACAAGCCTGAATGATCACTTATTACAAGGACCGGATCTGGCCAACAGCTTGGTGGGAGTTCTTTGTAGGTTCCGTCAGCATCAAACCGCATTCACTGCCGATATAGAATCCATGTTTTTTCAGGTTCGTGTTCCAGTAGAACAGAGAAGTTTTATGAGATTCATGTGGTGGGAAAACGGTGACTTGAACAGCGACTTGCAAGAATATCAGATGAGCGTTCATCTTTTTGGTGCCGTCTCCTCTCCTAGTATTAATAATTTTGTTCTGAAGAAAATTGGGGCTGAAGCAGAAAATTCTGAAGTGAGTAAAACTCTTCTCAGAAATTTCTATGTAGACGACTGTATTAAATCTGTGAAGTCTACCTGTGACGCCCTCAGACTGGTAGATGACCTTCAGAAAACCTGTGCAAGCGGAGGATTCCATCTTACCAAGTTTGCCAGCAACAACATTAAAGTTATGGACTCTATACCCAAGGCTGAGCATTCCAAAGAAATATCCTCAATTGATATCCATTATGATGAGCTACCAATCACAAAGACGCTTGGGGTACAATGGAACATTGAGACAGACCAGTTTGAGTTTTCCATACAGCTAAAAGCCAAACCATCAACTAGAAAGGGGATTCTCTCGGTCATTTCTTCGCTTTATGACCCACTTGGTTTTGTGGCTCCGGTGATATTGCCAGCGAAGAAAATACTACAGGATCTTTGTCGTGACGGAAATGTAGGATGGGATGATGATGTACCAGAGAAGTTTCAAGAAAGGTGGAGCAAATGGTCATCTTCGATATTAGCATTAGAAAATGTGAAGATAAACCGCTGTTTCAAACTTTCAGACTGTCCCCCACATGGTGAAGTGCAGCTCCATGTCTTCTCAGATGCCAGCTTCTATGGTTATGGATCAGTTGCCTGCCTTCGATGTAAGGATTACGCAGGAAACATAAATGTTTTCTTTGTAGCAGGAGAAGCTCGACTCGCACCCATCAAGACTATGTCAATCCCACGACTCGAACTTACCGCTGCAGTTACCTAAGTGCGACTAGCCAAAATGATAGAGAGAGAAATTGAGGAAGACTTGAAAGTGTTTTACCATACCGACTCCACTACTGTACTTCGCTACATAGCCAATGAGAAGAAGCGATTCCCAGTGTTTGTGGCAAATAGAATTCAACTGATACGCGATTTTTCCAGTGTAGAGCAGTGGCTTTACGTTCCGTCATCAAATAATAGTGCAGACGAAGCCTCTAGAGGTTTATCAGCGGATGAGTTGAGTGACAGTGCAAGGTGGTTGACTGGTCCCGAGTTTCTGTATACCGAGGAAGATACATGGCCGGCAAGCCCACTAAATTCTCAGACGCAAGACCAAGCAGATTCTGATGACGAGGTTCAACGTATAGCGTGTTTTGCATTGAGCAGTGACGAAGATTCTTTCTTTCAGCTTGTGAATCACTACTCAAGTTGGTATAAATTGTGCAAAGCAGTTGCTATCTACGGAAAATTTGTTCAGTGGTTGTGCAAAAGAGAGAAGTCTAAGATGAGTTTCTCTCCGGTGATTACGTCCGAGGATATTGCCCAATCGGAGACCACAGTCATACGTTGGCTACATTGGCGCAGTTACAAAGACGAGATTACCCAACTTACCTCAGCTGATGCAGATCAAACACGGAGCCGGGCAAAGACAGTAAACAAGACCAGCAACCTTTACAAGTTGGATCCAATTGTTGACAATGGTATCTTAAGAGTGGGTGGAAGATTACAGCGAGCAAATCTACCAGAAGAAGCAAAACATCCAATCATACTACCTAAGAAAGGCCATATTACTACCCTAATAATACGCCA